AACATTATTTGTGTAGCATAACAATATCAGCATATCTACGTGTGCCAACACATGGGTTAAGCATTCCATGTGTCCTTTCACTTATTTCTCAAAAGAACCCTTTATAAGAGATAGCATGGTAGCCATTTTACAAATGAGGTAGCCAAGGTACAGAGTAGATAAGAAATTTGCCTAAAATCTCAGTTAGTAGGTGGTGAAGCCCCAAGATTGTCCTGTTCACAAGCTGGTCTTCTCGGCCACCAGAATTCTGCTGTCTCTGGGTTTGATACTTGAGGCTGGATCATGTACCATCGATTGCACTGTTATTCCTTCTCATCCATAGAACTGCCTTTCCTAAACACCTCTAGGACAGAGACTCTCTTGTCATCTCATTTCTTAGTCTGATGATGTCATCCTACAAAAATATGAGTTTTCCAGAAAACCTACCCCTACGCCATTTGACTTAACTTTTAGATGTTAAGAATTTATAGTGTGATTATCTACTGCTATCTTTTGGGTTTCATCACTGAAGGGTTACCAGTGAAAAGCTCCTGGTACTATATGGACCAGATTCAGCATAAGGGATTTTCTTAGCTGAAGTATGTCTTCTTCCTGAGTTCCACTTACAAAATTTTCAAACAGAGCAAACTTTGATGGGGCAGCAATGACATGATAATTCACAAGATCAGATTAAAAAAACATGGACCTATTGGGGAACACAGCTCCTATTAAATCTAAATGTAATATAATCACAAATCAAGCACTCTTGTAATGATTGAAACCACAGATCTGAAAAACTATACCTCAAGTGCCACCTCTAGTGTGCTGCCTATTTATCTTTTGCACAGCCTGTGAACTAAGAATGGTTTTCAGATACTCTAATGTTTGGGAAAAAACCCAAAGAATATTTTATAATTCACATAAATTATATGAAATTAAATTTCAGTGTCCATAAATAAACTTGTATTGGAACACACACACAAAATCAGTTTTCCAAAGCAGACTTTCTCATTAAAAGTGTTTTTGGCTCTGTTTTCAGCTCAAGTGAAATACAACAGCCTCAACCACCACCAGATTTCCCATCCTTCGCCTGCTCTTTACCTCCTGTTCTCCCCTGGATCTTTTAGATGTCGTCCTAGCACCCAGCTGTGCTGATTAGCTGGATTTCTTTGTGTCTTATTTTATAGATTGTTGCTATATTTTGTGGGTATGTTTTTACATTTCGTCCATCTGCTGCAGTGAAACATCATTTTAACACTGATTATAGGTAATCTCCAACTTGTAGGGTCCTAATGCAAGTGAGATCCTTTCATCTGCATATATATGTGTGGGCTAGATTAGATCCAAGGGGAAAATTTTGTTGAGACTTGACTGCTTTTATATATCTTTTTGACATGTAAAATTTTGAAATAAGTAGTTTAATTGCATTGCATTATAAATCCTTCCTGGATTGGGGTAGGTGATAATTGCATTTTTATTTTGGAATTCAAATACCTTTTTAAAAAAAATTATTTATTTATTTATTAGAGAGAGAGAGCACAAGTAGGGAGAGGGGCAGAGGGAGAGGATAAAACAGACTCCCTGCTAAACAGAGAGCCTGACGCAGGGCTCGATCCCAGGACCCCAAGATCATGACCTGAGCCAAAGACAGACACCTAACTGACTGAGCCACCCAGGCACTCCTCAAATGCCTTTTAACATAGGACTTCATTATATTAATAATTTTCTTTTTAAGAGCTGACAATTTTTTTATGAACAAGGCTGAAGGAGTTCTGTAGAAGGAGGGAGAGGATGCAAACCTAGTTCAGGGGAGCTACATCAGACAAGTTAGGGCTCTCCCTGTGCACTGTAACCATCTCCTAAGACGCCGGGTTAATCTGCACGTGACCAAGAGAGGGTCCAATTATTTTTCAGTGACATTTTTCTCATGAGTTTCTTGGGATTCCAGATCACTTTGATAACCTATAGAAAGCAGTGAAACATGCACCTCCACTAGACACACTGAATTTAGCATAAAATTTCAGGGAGTTAAGGCTTGTTGAACTTAGTCGAGGGTCCACTTGGACCTATTTGAAGTGTTTCAAAGATCTCTATTCTTTGGCAGCCAGTGTGTTTTCACAGAGCAAACTGGTAACATTCTCTTTAAATAAAACTTCTTTAAGGAAATTAAGTTGTAGCAAATGCCTGTGAATTAAGGTGTAGAGAAAATAAACAGAAAATATACAAAATAAATAGTTAGGGCCATCCATAAAACTCTCCTGACACACAAACACTCATACATAAAAATGTATACAATTATACCAATATTATTTTGCCATCCTGTGGTAAGCTAGTGACATGATTGAGGCAGTATATCAATCTGCATTTTATTTATTTTTTTCAATCTGCATTTTATTAAATGAGACTAAACAATATCTGATATTCTCTAATTTGAATACTCCAACAATAACATTATTAAGCTTTAGGTTTTTAAAATGATAAATTAAGCACTTCTGCGTTCTTTCAGAGTAGATGTTTACCTAGGGAAATTTCATTTTTGTGTGTGGGGCTCTCTGTAGCACATTTGACATCAGATTTCAGAAACTGTCCTTGGTGTCTAAGCCGTCTTTATTTCTAGAAAAGACAGCCATGGTCCTGTTTAGTATTTTTATTTAGGAGCTTTCATAGTTGGCACTAAATATTTCAAATCCCATTTGAATCTCCTGACTTACATTTGACACTAAACGGACATGTTGGTGACTTTACATGTTTTATAAAAATACAGTAAGAACCTTAAGTTTCTTTAAAACAGTATATCATGTGTCAAAATGTACTTCTTGAAATGTGACATGTGATTTTCATACAAATAGGTACTGAGCACATATCACGATTTCATTTAGTGCAACCAGCAGGATGGCAAAGCCAGTTCAGAAAAGAGAGAAATATCTTGTGTTCACAGCTACATAAATATCCATAGGGATATGTATTTATCTGCCTATCCATAGCTATATTAATTCTACACATATAAATATAAACTTTTGGTGCCAGACCCGAGACCAGTTTTTTTCTCTCTCAATTATTGACTTTGCAGAATCCATTCATATTAAAAATTCCATGTAGTCAAGGTTTCTTATAATAAAACGGATCCCTTTTGTTAGGTCCATGCTTTTAAACCTCTAGTGTACATCACCTTCACCTGAAAGATTACAGGGTTCCACTCCCAGGGTTTCTATAAACTTGTGGTTGTGCCGGGGAGTTTGTATTTCTCACAAGTTCCTAGCCGATGCTGCTGTTCCATGGTTCACATTTTGAGACCCGCTGATCTAAGCATAGGCTTTGCCTGAGGAGCAAGTGAGGCCTCAGGGAGTGTTGATCAAAACCCCAAAGAAGTCAGTGCAACCTCTGATTATTTCTCTTACTGTTTGTCCTATGTTATTCCTAGCTCCTTCTCCTGTCCCCCTCCGGTACACACGGATCAGCCACACCCGGCTGCACTCTAGGGATGCTACCTATATTAAAACATCTCAAATCCCTAATGTGGGTCAAACTCCCACTGCCCTCCCCACAGAGACCTAGCCTCCCTCCTCATTTGTCCTGTTTCTGTCAACGATTTCAATTTCATTATAAGCCAAGGCTAGAATGCTCCAAGTCATGTGTTGTAAACTAGAATGCGCTTTTTATTTTTAAATTATCATTGACAGAGTTTCTCTTAGGGGAGATTTTCAGTTTTTGAAAGTTGGGAATTATAAAGAGATAATCCCTTCTGCTTTCAATCTGCCAGTTCCCTAGTCTGTTCTTCTGTGATGTGGCCTTAATTCCTTGTAAGAAGTAAAAGTTTCAGGAGACTTCTGGAAATCTTGGGAACTGATAGTAGTATTAAATCAGGAAGGTTGCCAGTCCTGGTGATCTCTTGGAAGGGCAGCTTTTGAAGAATGATGCATCAGAAGCCAGCCTTCTAGAGCTCGGGCCAAAATGGCTAAGGGGAAGTTGGAGGCAGGAGATACTAGAGGCATATTTCAGGGATTTGGCAGGGCAAGGGAGGAAAAATTAATTTTCAGACGATGTAACAAGATCAATTGAGGGGAATTTGTTTTGGAGAGGGGGAGCCATTGAAAGCAGAAAAATTAATGAATTTCCAGGTAGAGGAGAGGATTTCAGTAAGAATACAGAAGTAAAGTTTGAAAGGGAAGAAGAGAGTAATCTGGAGACTAGATGAAGTGGTTAGCTTTGAATAGGAAAAAATCCTTTTTATCTAAGGCTAAAGGAGAGGAGATGGAGGCTAGCAGATGGCCTTGAGTTCACACATGAGAGGGGGGGAGGATCGGGCATCTTAGAAGCTAGAGAGCTAGAGAATGCTAAGGCGGATGAGTACATCGTTGGCTAAGTCCGTGTTGGACAGGTGATTTTGTCACCAGCCAGCCTGGCAGGACGTTCTCCCTCCTTGTGCACGGCTCTGCAGTCAGGTTCAGTGGATAAGTTGAGGTAATGATGGCCTCAATATGTGATGCTGATTTTCTTTGCTTTCATGCAGACAAATTGCCTTGTATAACAGATGCTATTCTAGTTATGGGGATTTGACACTGCAGCTGGATGGCCTCTTGTGTTTCTTCAATGCTGCGAGTCCATTCTGGCCAGTAGATGAGGCTCAACTCCTTCCCATTTTGTGCTAGTGCCTTCCTGATACCTATGTGGGGAACCAAAGTGTAAATGACAGCCAGCTGCCCCTACTTCCTTAGCTTCACAAAAGCAAAGAAATTCCCTAAACGAGGTAAATGTCCCCAGTTATGTCATTTATGAATGCTTAATAGAGTAGTTGAGAACTTCACGGAAATTGTATGTGGGAGTTGTTTTAGAAGGTTCCGTGTGAAGTAATTTATTTCAAAGCACAGCCTCTCTTTCTAGTAAGAATATGATTTGGCCTCTCACCAGTGCTCGGTTTAGGAAAGGATGCTCACTCTTAGAAGTAGTCGATATGGTACAGTGAGGTTAAATCCCTCAGGTCATTCAAATGGAGTCAGGAGGATGTATGTGTCTCTTTCCAGGACCACGAAACCTCCTTCCCCAGGGCGCTCTCAGCTCAGAGACTCTCCCCACGGTGGTGCTTTCTAGATGGTGAGTGTTTCTCTATTTCATGGAACAGTGGGGATTGAGGAGCAGCAGGACAACAATGCCCTGATCGATGGGGTGGAGTGGACCCTGATTTTCCAAGGGATTATTCAGAAACCCTTTATGTGGCTCTGTGTGACTGGTATTTGCATCTCAAAATATGCGGACTCACTGATGTTGCAACATACTTTCCTGAAGTCATGTTTTTCAGAGAAAGTTGGTTAACTTGGGCTGAACTCAGCATCAAATTGCTCAAACTGACATTTCCCTTTCCGTTGCCCGCCCCCCCCCAACACACACACTTTTCCTGAAACAATGTTGAGGGCTTATCTTAAATTCAGGCCAGTAGATGGATACAGTACACAACGGACAGGTGCTAATTCTCTGTTGTTTGCTTATTGTAACTTTTGTATATTTCCATTAGCCATCATTTCAGTATGAGTATACATTTTTGCAAAAATGTAGAAATTTTCAGTTGCATTCAGATCTGCTCAGCTGAGCATGGCCTATTGAATGTATTTCAGTTATTTTCTGATTGGTTAATGGGTTCATTTTCCATTGCAAGCATCCCTCACTCCCTAGATGCTGCCTAATCCTGTTTTTCTATCAGTTAGTTAACCATATTACAGTACATTCCTGCTTATCTACTGCCCAGTGTATCAACTACCCGGTATCTCTCTTGTCTATGTGGACATGTGGTTTTCACTGTAGACATTTCTTTGGTTGATCTGGGGATGCAGATATAAATGTGGACAAGAGTGCAACAGGACGTGTGAGTATGTGAACAGTACTATGAAGATGAACACCTGTATTTATGTCAGATCTAACCCAAGTGAATCATGACCTAGGTTTTCACTAGTAGCTTATCACCTACTCTGAAGATAATTGACACTACTTTCCTCCGGCTCCTTTATTCCCTTGTGATGGAAAGCACAATCATGTGTTTTTTTACTGAATTCACAGGGAAACAACTTATATTTGAGAAAATCTTAGAAGTTTGTATGAATTGTTCTATATACAGTCTGTTCTATATACATTCTTAGATAAAATTACAAGTGTGATGTTAGTTATATTCTATAGATAGATAAACCTTTAAAAGTGATCACACTTAAGGTTAAAAAGAACGAAAGGAGATTAAGACCTCAGATTTTATTCCTTTGTTGCTTTTAGTGGGGAGGGACCATGATTGTCTTGTTTCTCAGCTCATTTCCTTTTGGAAAGAAGCTACTCATTAAATAGTTATGATTTTTGAATGATTATTTGCATTTTGAGTTATTCCCTCTAGGACTATGTACTTTGTAGAAAATCTTTTTATAATATTTGGACTCTGTTAGATAGATTTAAGTGAGGAGGAACATAATTCTTTTGAGTATTAAGAATAATCAGAATAGTGTCTACAAACCCAAAGTTCTCAATTTTTTCCCCCCAAACCACAGATGCAACCCAGTTCCTTTTAGGAATGCTTAAATAATTATTTTTACTGTTTTGGCTTTCTTTAGACATGGCTTAGGAATTCAGTCTTGAAGTGAAATGAATCCTTCAGTTCCAGATGTGGTCCCTGGCTCTGCATCTTCAAGCTTTTTTTTCTAAATGAGAATCACTTCCTTGGGAAGTCTGGCTACCTACAGGTTCCCCGCCCCCCCCCCCCCCCCCCCGCCCAACAACAACAACTTTCTTTACTTAATAAATACATACTGAGTTCCAGCTCTGTTTAAGGTCCTGTGCTAATGTCTGCAGGCATAAAAGAGCAGATGAAACACAGACCTTTAAAGAGGCAGATATCTCTGTTTCCTAGTTATTTATGAAGATGGTGTCTACAAGAAGTATAAAAAAATGTGAATATGCCTAAAAGTAGGAGCAATGAATTCTGTCCAGAGTAGGGAAGATGGGATGGAAGAATGTTTCTCAGAGGAGGCAGCATTTAAGTTGGTCCTTAAGATACAAGTAAGATTTAGTTAGGGACATGTAATGGGGAAGGGTTTTCTAAGCTGGGGCATAGCCGTAGCAGACATGGGAGTTCTGAGTTTTTCTAAATTTAGGAACTGGCCAGCAGGCTGGCACGCCTGGAATGCAAAGATTTTGAGTGGTATAATAGGAGAGAAGGTTGTAAATTTGGTGCTAGATCACAGGACTCTGAATGCCATATATACATTTTTCTTTCCTAGCAACTTCTGCTGATCGCTTTTACCGAATAGACAGATCTCAGGTAAGCTTTCTTGAGCCTATTTGTAAAAGAGAAAAATTCCCAAATCAATAGACTTTATTGGTAGCTAATCTTATACATTTCTCAAATGTAAACCCTAAAACATTTGCACATTCCGGAATGGTACTCATAGCCTAAGTTATGAGTTTTTTTATTTGTCTTCACACATTTTGTGATTTGTGGACTCAAGATTTGACCTTGCAAATGAGTACAGAAAATAACTAGGCTTATAGATGTTATCACCAGCCTGCACTCTAAATTTTCTCGCACACTGCTACTTTTACTACTTCCTAGGTCCATTTTATGGCTTTTTCAGTTTATTTTGGTTAGCAAGTTTGACACCTCAGGTGTATATTTATGCTACTCAGTTCCAACTCATCACTTCCCAGAATTTTCTAATGAGAAAAAAAAATGCTTCTGTTCAATGATAATAAATGTTCCTACTGTCCAAATTCTCCTGCAATAAAGAAGAAGAAGAAGAAGGAGAAGAAATAATAATACAGCATGGAATCCAGTGATAAAACCAGTTAATCATGCCGCTTAGCTTTGGCCGGATCCTGGGGGTCCAAGTCCAGCTTACTGCACAATTCATGCTGGAACGAAGCCACAAGTGGGGTGTCGCTTCTTTGAAAGTATTTGGAAAGAAGAGGGAAGCCCATCTCTGGTTACACCTGACAAGATCCTGGTCGAGTAGGAATCCCAAACCAAGAAGGATTCTCCTCTTCCCCTCACCAGCCTCTTGCTACCATGTCGCTTCAGGGATGGTATCCACTGGTCAGGCCTCTGAAAATACACTGTGGTCTTTGGATATGCCATCGACTTTCATTATCCCTCAAGACCAAGGATGCTTTGTTTTGTCACTTATCAGATGATAGATTTGAGCATCCTGTCAATCCTTTGACAGACTTCTTTTTTCTTCCTTAGGAACATTTGCACTTTGTGATGGAGATTTCCCAAGACGAGATTTTTATTCTGGATCCAGATATGGTGTTGTCACAGCAGGCGGGGACACCTCCAGGAATGCCTGACCTGGTGGTGGAGCAAGCCTCAGGGTGAGTGCGCCCTTCTTTGGTGATGTGGTAGTGAGGCTGGCAACAGCGTGACATCCGTGTCTGATGTGGCTTTGCAGTAGACATTTCCAATGACATTGAACTATCTTGAAATACAGCTTTTCTTGCTGGGTTTCATTAGCGTGTAGCATAACTGGTTCCATTCTGTGTCTGTCTTTTAAATGGCTGCATAGAATTACTCTTTCCCACCAAGATTTGTACCATGTCTGAGCCTTCTTTAACCACCACATCCATACTTCTTACCAAACTATAAAGTACGAGTATTTGCATTTGTGCATATATATCTATAATGCTTGTATCATCCAAAGGAAAATGGGCACAGGTGGTTTGACTCTTACTTTTCTTCTCTACCACTTCCTCCTCCCTTTTTTTGCTATATCCAGGCAGCCTGAGACATAGATGATATAATAATAACTATGACGTACCAAGCACTTATTATGAGCCACATACTGTCCTAAATGCCTGTCTTATATCCCTACCACCACTTCATAGTTACCTTGTCATTGGAAGTGCTCTGTGCTTATTTCCTGATCTGTAAAATGGAAATGAAGCCTACAGAGAGAATTGTTTGAAAATTAAATCAGTTGATACGTGTGAAGTATTTAGGATAGTTCTTGATACTTGGTAGATACTCATTCAGTATGGTGTTATTAAAACATCATCATCATCACTGTCCTGTCACAGTGCCCCTGCATGTCTGGTACTATTATTATCCTAAATCCACAGATAACAAAACTGAGGCTCAGAGGGTTCTTTAACTTTGCCGCCATTGCACAGAAAATGAATGGCAAAATTGAGATTTGGTCCCAGGTTTTATGCTAAAGCCCGTGCGTTTAATCACTATGTTGAACCACCAAAATATTATTAATATTTCTAGGTTATTTCAGCAATTCCAAAATACTTATTTAGAAACCTTTTTAGGTGCCAGCTACTAGTAGCAGCCCTTAGGAAACAACAGTGCAAAAATAAAAAAATGAAAATTTCTGCCCTTGTAAAGTCTGATGAATTTTGCTGTCTTACTGGTATATGGAGGCCAAATAGTTAAAATAAGGATTTCCCTGGAAAGCACACACACACACAGGCACTCAAATAGCATTTGCGAATTGTGTACACACACACACACACACACACACACACACACACACACACACACGTAGACAAGTTCACCTGAGGTAACCTTATGCCTGTTTACCCCTGTGCACTAATTTATTTGGTCATTGCTGCCATTTCTGAATATTTCTCACTCTGCCAAGGCCGGCTGGTACAGAAGACAAAAGTGGCAGGATGGGGCAGGTATATAGCGGCGTTTAGGAAAGCCAGAGCTAGTGATATCAAATGTGTATCCCCGGGTGTCCCAGAAGGTGGTGGAAAAGCCCATCTTCACAGTCCATGTCTGTAAATCCAGCCTGTCTGCTGTGGGGAAAGCTAGTGAGATGCTGGATCATCCTGCAAGGGCAGTGGGCATTAGAGTCTTGCTGTCCTCTTGCCCAACATGATCTTGGCTGCAGTCTTCAATCTGGTAAAGAGTAAACCCGTTCTACCACACTCACCCTGCTCTTTGCCCTCTCTCTATATCAATAATTGGCCAAAAGAAATGGCTTTATCCTGGGCTAATCCTCTATTAGCCCTAGCTCCAAAAATAAAGTAGCCCAAAGTAGCTTGAAAATCCATTAGCACTTCAATCAGTCCCTTTCTTATTTCTGGTCAGTTGCCCCTTTTGGAAATGAACAAGGACAGGAAAGCAGTGAGAAAGGATGGGCTTTGTTATTTCCTAATTTCCATTTCTACATCAGGTCCCATTACTTCTTATTTACATCACATTTAAAATTACTTAATCTTTTTTTAAGATTTCATTTTTTTATTTGAGAGAGCACGCATGTACAGAGGGAGAGGGAGGGGGAGAAGCAGACTCCCCGCTGAGCAGGGAGCCCAACGTGGGGCTGATCTCAGGGCTCTGAGATCATGACCTGAGCCGAAGGCAGAAGCTTAACTGACTGAGCCATTCAGGCGCCCCTAAAAGTACTTAATCTGGAAAGGCAGTTTTCACATCTGTAGAGGGCAGAAGCACACAAATAGTTCATGACACTTGAGAAAATTAAATAACGAATGTGAAGAGGTAACTAGTAAATACCCAGTTTAGTATTAGTTTGCCATCTCACATCTAGACAAGAATCATCTTGAGACAGAGCAGAGTAAGTGCCGTGCTGGCTTTGAATGCCTAAATGCCTGGTGCCCTGCTTTCTCCCAGAATGTCCGACTGGTGGAATCCCGCCCTACGGAAGCGCATGCTGAGCGACAGCGGGCTGGGAACGATAACCCCACATTATGAGGACTCGGATTTGAGAGATCTCAGCCACTCCCGTGTGCTACAGTAAGAGCGCTCTCTCTGTCCTTTGTGACCCTGTGATCGCCGGGGGAGGAGTGCCGGGTTACCTCACCAGGGGCGAGGGGTCCCTTTTCAGTGGTGCTCCCAGCTGTCTCTTGTGCCGCTCTGTGCTCCCCCATCTTCCTCACTTGGCTCACTTTTCCCAGCCCCAAGCTCCCAATGGAGCTTCACTTTCCGTTTCTTCTGCTCCCGAGCCGCACTGAGACTGCACGTGTGTATCTATACATACTTTGAACCTCACCATTGTTTGCTTTACTGGAATCCAGTGTTTACTAGATGTCCCTGTGTTTGCTGCATTGTGAAGTCATGCATGAGAGAGATCATGAAGAGTCTGGAAGTGACATAGAGTTTTTTTCATTTGTGGCAACGTTTCCTCTTGCTGGTACAATTCTGTTTCATGTGTCTCCAGTCCTGTAGTAGTCAGGTGGTTTTGTTGGCTGAAGTGGAGGGGCTCACCTGACTCAGGGTCTCTGGGTAAATGCTGAAGCTTTTGCTCGTAGGTCGGAATAGTAAGTGTGTTTGTTTCTGAGGTCTGACCATGGTCAGAAAGGAGGGTGAATGTTGGAGTTTTGCAACAGTGTTGGCACATTTATGTCTGCACACTCTTTTCTTCCTGTGATATCTCCTTGCAGGAGCAGATTCTAGGTGCGGTCAATGGTCATGGATACATTCTTTCACCCCATTTCAGAGGTTATACAAGTTTGTTGCAATTCATGATATTAGGCTAGTTTGCAATCCTATCCAAGGTCCTAACTGAATAGGGCCTTGTTTCTGTGCAGTCTTACAATTTTTACAAAATAAAAAGATTAAGAGTCTCAGAAGCCTAGGGTTAACCGAATAGACATTGTTTCTAAAGGAAGACCACAGCAATTTTGGTATGGCAAAGGGGGGAAAAGCGAGAAATCTGGAGCTAAAGACTTCATTGGTGGGAAGGTTCTACTCAGACATCCCAGGGGCAAAAGGCAATTTCATTTTAATTGCTTCTCTGTACTACCTCTTATTTTGTTGTGTGAAGAGTAGAAAGGAGAAAGTGAATTACTGTGGATTTTCCTTTTTAATCAAACCAAGTTAGATTTTGATCACATTTTGATCGCTTACAACTCAGGGTGTTTTTCCATTTCTTTTTTATATGGAATTGTTGCTTATGAACCACAATGAGTCAGCCACCCACTGATGGCTAAATATGTGGCCACCTAGCTGCGGGCAGATTTATTTGAAAAATTAGACTTTAGACACAGACAGAGGATTTTTTTTTAAGACCTTATTTATTTATTTGACAGAGAGGGACATAGCGAGAGAGGGAACACAAGCAAGGGGAGTGGGAGAGGGAGAAGCAGGCTTCCCGTGGAGTAGGGAGCCCGATGCGGGGCTTGATCCCAGGACCCTGGGATCATGACCTGAGCCGAAGGCAGACACTTAATGACTGAGCCACCCAGGTGCCCCAGACATAGGAATTATGCCTAGACAAACCAGATGAGTATTGTAGTTGTTCTTACAGACAAGCTATTTCCAAAAAGTAGAGTGATCTCACTCTGGTTTCCTGTTCCCTTATTTTTCTATGTGGAGTATATTAAAGTATATATCATGATATGTGAAGTGTAAGGTAGTAAATATTCTTCCCAAATCACAAATATACATACTATTTCATGTAATAGCCATGTTCTATATAAAAATCAACTCTTATTCTTCATTTGGGTTATATTATCCTTTCAGAGATTTCTCTTAATTTTTTATTGATCTTTACTTGGCAGTTGTCAGTGGTCTTGGTCATTTATACTACCTTAGCTCTTAGTGCACTAGAGCAATTAACTTTAAAATTTTTTCCTGCCAAATCACTCGAAAACAAAGTAACACTCAAACACTCACCCCTAGCCTCTGAGTCTGTCTAGCTGAATCTCTGCACATTGTGAAATAGAGACAAGTCACCACCCCCCCCCCAGTTCTGCCTGAATCCCTGACTCATAGAATATAGGAGCATAATAAAAGAGTTGTTTTAAATCACTAAAAATAAGTAAGTACTGTACCCTACCTCAATTTGCACATTAATTCTTTATTTTTTTTATTATTATTACTGTGTCCATTAATTCCTTAGAAAGAACATCTCTTTATTTCCTTCAGAGATCATCTCTGATGCAAAGAGGTATAATTGCAGTCATGGAATAATTCAATTATATAATACATAGATATTATATACCATGTTAGTAATAGCTAGATAGAATGTCTCCTACTTGCTTTGTATCATAGCTAAATTATCTTTAATTCTTTTAACAACTTTTAAATCTTGTCATTGCTTAACAGTGAGTAACTGAGGCTTACAGAGTTTAAAATATTCATCTTGGATCACACAAGACAGCAAGAGTGGGAACTGTGGTCTGAGTCAGGTTGGCTTGACTTCTGACTTCATGCTTTTTTTGACCATACTGTACTATCTTCCTGAAGGGCTGGGGCAAAGACATGGTGCCTACAGCCCCATGGCCCAAGAAAGGTTTACCTTGGCTTCTATTTATTTTAGCATTTGTAAAGTGTCTGGGGAATCTTTAAAAAGAGATTGAAATGTTTAAAAAGATAGACTTTTATTTAAAAATTATTAAATATATATTAAATTTGCCCCAATCTAAATAAGCACAAAAATTATTCGAAAGGTCATTTGTTTTGTTTCTTAAATTCCACATAAGAGCAAAGGGGGAGAAAAAAAGAGGCAAACAGTATAGAGTTCCCTGAAAGAGTTAAAAGTAGAGCTACCCCACGACCCAGCCAAATGCTGGGTATTTACCCCAAAGATACAAATGTAGTGATCCAAAGGGGCATGTGCACCCCGATGTTTATAGCAGCAGTGTCCACAATAACCAAAATATGGAAAGAGCCCAGATGTCTATTGACAGGTGAATGGATAAGGAAGATGTGAGATACACACACACACACACACACACACACACACACACACTCACACTATGGAATATTACTCAACCATCAAAAAGAATGAAATCTTGCCACTTACAATGATGTGGATGGAACTAGAGGGTATCATGCTAAGTAGAATGAGTCAGAGGAAGACAAACACCAATATGATTTCACTCATATGTGGAATTTAAGAAACAAAACAGATGAACATAGGGGAAGGGAAGGAGAAATAAAGTAAGAGGAAAACAGAGAGGGAGACAAACCAGAAGAGACTCTTAAGTATAGGGAACAAGCTGAGGGTTGCTGGAGGGGAGGTGGGGGATGGGGTAACTGGGTGATGGGCATTAAGGAGGGCACTTGATGTAATGAGCATTGGGTGTTGTAGGCAACTGATGAATCACTGAATTCTATCTCTGAAACTAATATTACAGTATATGTTAATTAAATTGAACTTAAAAAAGTTTTTTAAAAAAAGGCAAACCAAGAAACAGACTTCCTAACTATAGAGAACAAACTGATGGTTACCAGAAGGGAGGTGGGGGGTGGGTGAAACAGGTGATGGGGATTAAGGAGGGTACTTGTGATGAGCTCCTGGTGTTGTGTGGAAGTGTTGAATCCCTATATTGTACACTGGAAGTTAATTTTACATGTATGGTAACTAACTGGAATTTAAATAAATCTGTAAAAAATTATATGAAGGGTACTCATGTGCCAAACACCCTGATATATTATGTTGTTTTATGTTATTATTTGCACTAGGTCTTTCTTTCAGTCCATAAACAACATACAGTAACATACAAATATGTGTATATATATATATATATATTTTTTTTTTATGGATTTTTTTGTTTGTATTCTCTTTCTACTTTTCATTACCTGTATTGAACAATGTATACGCTTTTCAGACTTGCCCTTTCATTCAACGGTCATATTTTTAAAGTGTGTTCATATTGATATATGTGGTTTTTAATTAACTCTAATTGGTATAGAATATTGCATCATTAATACTCCATAACTTATTTCTCGATTTTGATAGCGATTTCTAATGTTATTTAAAAAATGCAGCAAATACCCTGGGGCATGGGTCCTGTGTTGCAGGGTGTATGTGCAGTTTCAACTTTGCTTAATATTCCCAGCAGGAATATGAAAAACAAGTATGTAAAAAAAAGACCTGAAGAATTATTGTTAACATTTCAGATACTACCGGCATCTGCTGCTTTCAGCTTTAAAGCTCCAGTCAGCTTGGAGATAGGAAAGGTCCAAGTTTAACATCATGTTCACAATATTAAATAACTCACTATATAAAAAGATCAAAAGGGAAATTTTAAATTCTTAGAACGGAAAACAACTATCAGAGTCTGCAGAAACCACTAACGTCTTACTCACAGGATGATTTATGACTCTAAATTCACTTATCAAAGGAGAAATGATTCATACAAATAAAGCATTCAGTTTCATAAACTGGAAAAAGAATCCCAGAGTAGAAAACAAAGAAGCAAGAGGGAAGAATAATAATAAAGACAGAAATCACTGACGAGGAGAATAAAACAAAGAAATGATTAACCAAGACTCAAATGTTAAAATATTGATTCTTTAATAAAAAGGCAGGTAAGAGACAAAATCCTGAGAAGAGTGACTTTAAAAATAGTAAATATGGGAAACAGAAAGGAACGTAATTGCAATGCTTTACTACCTCATTCCTCCTCCACAGCACCTGGCATGCACCTGCTCAAGGTGACCCTTTCCCCTCCAAACTCTATATGACCCAACCCCCTGGGGGTCTCCTCAGAGTTCTCCTCATTTTAACTTTTATTTCTAAGAGCCATCACCCTCCCTTCTACTTCAGGGACAGTGAGATGGAATGAACAAAGAGAATGAATTAGATTTCTATTATTACTGGAACTGGTTACCTTTATATTGTAACTCCATTTAGAAACATCATAATTTTATAAAGAAGGTATGATAGTCCAATTATACACAAGGCCTCTAGGAGAGAGTATCATTCCAAAGAAGGATGTACACACATATACGGTCTTCAAAACCTGTGAACATAGTAAAAAACAATCTTTAAGAACCAATTTTGA